GGGGGGGGGGGGTCAAAATTAACATTGATTTCTTTGTCTTTGTTTTCCTTCGGACACCCACTGAAGAGAAGACATGAGTTCTTGAAAGAGTTATTAAAGGAAGCCATGATTAGCAGAAGGTGGTAAGAGTTATATGAAGAAAGATAAAAGTAGCAAAGAGTTGAATGCAAAGAAGTTGAGAGAGTTTGTAAAATTGTGTTAAGTATAAAAGAAGAAGAATAAGGCGTATAAGTAAAGGAATAGGCGGCTAAAATCGTGACCATGATTACCTCGAGAACCGTTGAGAATATTACTAAATCATGGAATAACACGTGTTCAGAGTATTAAATGCGAAGAGACGTGTGTCTTATCAAGCGTCAGAAACTTTTTACAAGGGTTGAGAGAATTTTTGGTCAAGAAAGGAATCTTCACCAACTTCCCACCGGAAAGTAGGGGGACTATCTATATAGGGTAAAATTGGTGCACATTAAATACTCGAATAATAGAGTGACACGTGGAACCGAGGGACGGACGAAAGACAAAGCGAGTGGAAACCAAGACCAAGGATAACATCTTCGGTTGGCATTGGGCAGATCCCGAAGGGAACATTGTTAATGAGGGCAAACGAATATTTGTCACCAGATGACATTCAATGAAGAATATTCCTCAGTATTAAATACACATCCGTTATAAAATTTTTTGGCATTCATTTCCTGTCGTTACATATTCATCAATGACCCCCATTGTTGTCATTTAAGAGGGGCTTGATTCTAGGACCTTGTTCCCTAGGTATAACTATAAATAGTGACTTCAATAACCATTGTAGGACACGAGTTTGAAAACAAGCTTATGATACACATTATTTCAAGTTATATAAAACATTATTTTTTGTCTAACAATATTCTTATTGCTGCCTTCAGAAGCCTAACTCTCGGAACCAAGTTGTCATCTATTTTATCTCGATTTCTATGCTAAGTCGTGCATTTTATTTATTTTATTTATTATTTTGGATCAAATCAATTCCCTTGTCTATACACCATACTATAAATTCAATTATTACGTTTTGTTTTACGGGTAAACAATTACTATCAAATTACCACTGAAAAGAGATGGATAACTCGGTTGGCCATTTCAGGGAGGACTGGACAACACTTGTTGATATATCATATAGATAGAAATGCTTTAAAAATGCGGAACTATTTTTCGAGATAGCTGAATATTAAAGAGGTGTGGGCTACAGCCTACAAATTAAAGGAGGATTTAAAGATTAAATGCTTTTTATGGCTTTCTCAAAAGCATGGAAAGAAGCCTTACGGGCCAATCATTTACGTCAGGAAATATCTTTTAAATGCATTTTTCCTGGTCATCAAGGAAACTCCTATCCAACTTGATTTTGGAATTGACAACTGATTTGTTGTAATCCTAAGTTTTTATTTTTGTTTTTCTCTACGCTAAACCTAATTCTAACACACTAATGAGGGTCTTGGAAAAATATAGCTAAATTAACCAGCAGTAATGAAATTTATATTTTTTTTTTATATAAAGCTTAAAAATAAAGTGAACTGCTAAGACCATCTCCAAGGCTACTCCATTTCTTGCACCAAATCCAAATTTGGTGCAAGAAATGGTGCTTTTTTACTCCAATGCAACACTAATTCTTACACTATTATAGAGCATGAATAGTGTTGCACCAAATTTGGTGCAATACTATTCATCACTCTAAATTTGGTTTAATATTATTTTATTCAATCTTTTTATTTTGTGGACTTTTAATTTATCATATATTGTGTATATAATTAATTTTTATATTAAGATCTTTATATTTTTAATTTTATATCCTATTTTTTGATATATTAATTTTTGTATATATATTATATTTATATAAAATTATAAGTTAATTTTATTATTATTATAATTGTATAAAAAGAAATATAACCATTATTTAAAAATAAAAAATGCAAATGTAAGATATCTAATGTTGCTAAAATTGAAAAGTGAAAACTAAAATTTAAAAAAGAAAATTAACAATGCATAAAATAAAAATACATTATAATTAAAGCACATAAAAGGAGGATATATTAAAATTGAAATTACAGTAAAAACATAAAACATAAGTTTAGTAATCCCTTATGTCATTTCCAGGTGTACCAAAATTACCAAAATACTGAGAGAATGGGGTAATATTTATTTAATTATCTTTTATCAATGATTTCACTTTTAGTTAATTTATCCTTTAAAATAATTTTGTAATAAATGAAAAGTAAATAGAAGATAATAATATAATATAGAAGAGAAAGAAGATTTGCTGTAAAAAATGGTATAATGGTTGAAGTAAATTTGATGTTACACCATTTTGGTGTGAAATTAGGTGCAAGAAATGATGCTAGCCTTGGAGATGGCCTAAGGGGAAAACATACGAATTATAGTAGAATCTTCTTGGAATTAATTAGCTAGTTCCTCTATTTCAATTTACTCTGCACTCCTACTCTTGAGGAGCAAAATCATTTTCTCTTTATATACAACCATTAAAATACTCTTCAAATACTTTTAATTAGAAGTATTAGTCCCTAATAATTTTTATGTATTGTGTAGTTATATAAATTTAATATTAGAAATCAATTTCCAAATTGAGATCGAAAATTATAATTTTTGGCCCAACTCCGATCCTATTTTTTTTTTTTTTTCAACACAGAAGTACTATAATGAGAATTAATTTTGTGTGGTTGTAGGGATGGAAAATTCTACATTAATTGCTTTATTCCCTCAAAAAAAGAAAAAAGAAGCTGCGCGGTACACATCCATAATATAAGTAACGCTAACATACCTGACAAGAAAACTTTCGTGCCCAAAAGTGATGAAACAAAATAATTTGCTCCACCATGTGAAATAATTAAATGTTGATCGATGAGACAAGATTATATATTTTTATTAATAGATTTACGAATGCTAGTGCATATAAAACACTGATATTGAAATAGTAAGAAAGTAAGGCCGAAAGATAAAAATGAGAGTCAATTACTCAAATGGTCACTCAACTATCCCAAATTATCTCCTAAAGTCATTTCATTTTTGTTTGTAACAACAAAGTTACTCAACTATGCCTATTGCACTAAGAATGTTATTCAACTTGATTTTCCAATTTTGGATTGCCAAATACCTATTTTACCCTCTAAATTATAAATATTTATCTTCTTTTATTTTTTAACCTTTTAATATTATAATTTTCTCTTTTTAATTTATATTATGGACTTACCTAAAGAATAAAAAAATATTATTTATAAATTAAAAAATAAAAAGTATTTAAGCATCTATAATGCTGGAGCAACAAAATAATGAGCATAGTAAAAAAGTTAATTAGAATAATTTGTTCGTAATAATAATTTTAGTATTAACAACAAAAATTCAAAAATTTATTTACACAATTCAGAATGAAAGAAAATAAAGGCTGTAAAATATATATTTCATGCACGTAATATAAAAATAATTATTTGAATAAAAGTATTTTAATAATATACATTATATATTCTTGAAAATTATGCTCAATTATGTTATATATATTCCATGCACGACTTAACATAGCATATTTTACCCTATACAAATAGTCCCCTTGCTTTCCGATGGTATAACTTTGTGTCGTCGAAAAGTTGGTAGAAATATAATAATATAATTGAGCATAATTTTCAAGAATATATAATGTATATTATAAAAATATTTTTATTTAAATAATTACTTTTATATTACGTGCATGGAATGTATATTTTACAACCTTTATTTTCTTTCATTCTGAATTGTGTAAATAAATTTTTGAATTTTTGTTGTTAATACTAAAATTATTATTACTAATAAATTATTCTAATTAATTTTTTTACTATGCTCATTATTTTGCTTTCGAGCATTATATATGCTTAAATATTTTTTAATTTTTTAATTTATAAATAATATTTATTTATTCTATGGGTAAATCCATAATATAAATTAAAAAGGGAAAATTATAATATTAAAAAGTTTTAAAAAATATATAAAGAAGATAAATGTTTATAATTTAGAGGGTAAAATAGGTATTTGGCAATCCAAAATTTGAAAAATCTAGTTGAGTGGCCTTCTGAGTGCAATAGACATAGTTCAGTAACTTTGTTGTTACAAATAGAAGTAAAGTGACTTTAGGAGATAACTTAGGATAGTTAAGTGACCATTTGAGTAATGAAATCAGTCGCATGAAAATGGAAACTTAATGTACAAAAAAGGTATTTTTATTAGTAACAAAGCAAAGTAGCAAAAAACTGTCACAGCACATACAGACATTTTATTATTCTTCACAAGAGAAAGATTACTTGGAACATGAGATATTCATTAGTGTACAAACACTTGAAGATTAGGAAACTAAAAGTAAATTAAAGGAAAATGCCAAGTAATCATTTAGGTTTACTAAATCGATCTTAGGCATCCACAGTTTGCAGCTTGGGCATATTCTCAACTTTAGCTGCTTCAGTTCCACGTGCATTAAATTTCTCTGAGTAAACAATTGCACCAAGCTTCACAATATCAATAATCTGCTCTTCAGTTAATTGGGGAAGCTTTTTCTGCTCATCTGAAATTATGACATGATTTTGTAGCTCCCGAAGTTTCTGCTCCTTTATGACGTTCTTCTCTTTCTTGTTATATACCACATAAAGTATCATTTGGAGAATACCGAAGGTGAATCCCAAGATGTTTGGAATCTATAAGACAAAAAAAATATATTATTAATAGATCTTTGAGTACGTTACGTAATAATTTAGATGTGCATGCAAGTAAATAATAAAAAATAATAGTATTGACTTACTGCAACAATTTTGTTTCTTTTTAGAAGACCGTAGAAGAACCACATGACAGCATTGAGTGTGAGGAAAAGTGATAGGAGAAATGGCATGTATTCCACACTCTTGGTTTTGATTACTTTTCTCTGCATGACATATATGGTATTAATTAGGAAAATCAAATATCATTTTCATGCATGAAAAATGGAAATTAAACACGATCGTTAATTATTGCAATATTCATATACTTACCAAAATGCACAATGGTGCTGCAAACGTACATACCGAAAACACAAGGCAAATCCATCCAACAATTTGGCCACGAACTGCGCCTTTGAATAGAAATTGGATAACGAGAACCATAGCTCCAAAGCCACCAACCACTAATAAAAGAAGCATCTTCACAGTTTGGACCTGCATTGAGTATGCAATTACAAGGTCAAAAATAATTATCTTTTAGGTGATCTATTATTCTCATAATTTATTTGCCATGTTATGGTAAAGAAGTCAAACTCTTCTTGTAAAAGCTTACGTACCCTGGCTTTCTTTGGTGCATAGAAAAGGTAGATGCCAACGTAAAATGTTTCAATAAAGCAGCCAATGGTGTTTATAGTGATAATGAAGATCAAGTTGGACTGGGGCATGAGAAGTGCGTAGTATATCCAAAGTACGCAACTGAATAGTGCAACCACATAAGGAATTGATTGATAGCCTTCAGTTGATTTTTTCTTGTAAATCGAATAAAATGTAGGCCTGTCGACGATGTGTAGATACAAATGTAAGTACTAATCAATTTATATACAAGTAGTATGGTAATACGAATGAAGGTTTAAGACATGGCGGACTCACAGTGGAGAAAGGAACACCATGAACGAGACGATGTTACCTGTAAATTGAGAAAAAAAAAAAGAAGGGTATGATTAAACTCAACAACTTCTGAAATTCTTGGGGAAGAAAGTAAATTGCGACAAAAGAGCATGCAAATGATTAAAACAAATACTTATTACGTAAATGATTGAAGATATACTAGTACGATGAAATGTCACATCCATGAAATATTTAGTAGGCTCTACAACGTAATAATATAATTATAATAGCCATAGGAGCAATTGATACTTGAATACAATAGGAATAGTAATAACAAGCAAGAAATGAAATAATTTACCGAGGACACCAAAAGCAGAAGTCCAGACGCCAACAGAAATACCAGCCATCGTTTTTTTAAATTCTTTTTACTGAACAAATTAAGAATTGCAAAATCTCTATCTCGATCTCTTTAGTCTTTATTACTCACTCAAGAATTGCAAGTTCTACTTGGCAATGAAACTAGGTACTTGGTTGACATATATATAAGCAAGTGTGGGAAAGTAGATCGATGCAATAGAAAAAAGTGTTTTTGTTTTCTATTGTCTTTGCACAAATGTATAAGGAAAAAGGAATTGCCCTTTTCAATAGCTAATTAACTTTTATCTTTCCGTGTATAAGAAATATTTATATTATTTAGATCACTCACAAAGTAATTATATATAATCTCTATGATAACTATAAATTAATTGATAACATATATAATAAAAATGGTACTAACTGAACTACTATAATAGGTTAAATAATATTTATCGTGAAAAATAATCTTTATAGTGCAAATATATAAAACTTAAATTCTAGCTAATTTCTTTGCTGCGTAAGGGGTAAGATGAGCATATCCTAAAAATTAAATGGTCCTACGGTGCTCTTTTATTATGTCATCCTCCAATACTCATGGGCACTAAGGTTTACATTTCATACTTTAGTTTTGGAGGGTCTGATTTTATATTTGTTTTCTGTTCAGATGAACTCCAAATCAGCAAAATAACAATCCAGAAATGATGGGGGTGCCAATTAGTGCTTGCCATTTGGCATCAATAATGGAGTGGGGGCAACCATTTCTGACTCTGATGCTGCTATTGCATGAGGTGATCAATTTGCTGAAATGGCTGATGAAAATATCATCAGGATAATATGCTTCGCTATGCTTTGCTTTAGTTGGCTTATCTTGTCTTGGTGGGTTATGTCATATATCTCTATGATGAAATAAAATGAATCAGTTTCCATATCTCTTAAAAGATATTTACCAATGTAAAAATTATCTATTTCACTATCAGTGCTATTTATTCAGTATATAAGCTAATTATTTTATTTTCTATCTATTTATTATTATCGGTCAACTTGACCTGACATATACTATTAATGCACAGAACCTAAATGCTTCTTAAATTGGCAGATGACAATGTTGTGTTTATAATGTGAATTAGGCTTCAGGGTATACCAGCTCACCCACAATCAGCAAGATGATTGATTTGTTTTCTTTGATTTTCCCCCGCCAGGTGGATATATTATAGTGTTTGGCTCGATAACATTGTCAATGATTGGGAGATCAATTCAATTGTTGTTCTTCATTGGTACGTATTTTATTCTTGTTATACTAAAAGTTTACAGAACTAATTAAAATCAAACATAAATTAATTAATACACATGGCAGAGCAATAGAGACGACGTACATTTCTTTATCATACTTGCTCCACTTTTTTCTCCCTTTGTAGTTCTTGGATAAGATTCAAACTTCTTTAGCCTTTAACAATTTAATCTTTAGGGTTTTGTGGATACTGTTCTTCCAACTTCAACAGCCACTACATATTATTGCTCGTGCATTATGCATGCATGTTCCAATGATTGAGCCCCTCAAGACGTTTCATACCATCTTTCCCTTTTTCTCCATAATTTTTTCCCTTTTCTTGGACAAGTTGTAGGCAATCGCCTCATGATCTAAATAAACGGTGGATATTTACAATAAAGGTTGGTGCCACTGGCCGGGGCCGAGCTACAGTAATATATACGGGTTCAGACGAACTCAATAATTTTTGCTTATACTCTATATTTGTATTAAAAAATCTATTAAATATATATAAATATTTAATTTTGAACTTAGTAACTAAAATAAGCCATAAGTTAGCGACAAGTTTAGAAACCATAAACTTGAAATTCTAGTTTCCCCTCTGACGTCATCACTTTGAAGCTTCTATGCTTTAATATTGGTACGTCGTATACTAATACACGGTGATTGTCTGGTTTTGATTATTTCATGCAAAAGAGCGGAGAAAGACATTATTTTGGGAAAAGGGTCTTAGCGCGTTTCTAAAAAGTTAGATTATACATCTTGTGAAATTGCGACACAAAGATTCATCTGAAATCATCCAAATCAAATTGCGTGGAAAGCTCGGATTCTATAACTTATTCATATGTGTAAATAGGTTATGATCCCAGCCACACATGGAAGCATATCGTTTACTCTGCTTTAATCCCTTTAACTTGAAAATATCATTTTGAAATCGTGACGGTTCTTAATTGGTGAAGTGCAAAAGGATTTTGTAGCGTTAACCTCAATAAATTACCGACAAGAACTACGCCTTTCTTTTTTCTATAATTTATAATGATTTGTAGCCAATATTTGTGGTCTTCTGAACCACAGATCTACTTACAAATTGGAGTCTAACTAATGTATATTAAGTAGATGAAAAAATTCATTAGAAGCTTCTAGATATTTGAGAGATGAAAATGTGTATTTTATTATTTCTCTTAACTGCCAACTATACAAGCTGTAGTGTGTATATATATACACACTACAGCTTGTAGACTTTGCCAAGGCTTTCGATCTAGTCATTGCGAACTCGAGTTTTACGAAGCGGGATGAACATTTGGTTACTTACCAAAGTTCGGTGGCGAAGACTCAGATTGACTATCTCCTGCTCAGGAGATGCGACAGAAGGTTGTGCGAGGACTGCAAGGTTATCCCCGGTGAGACCCTATCAACACAGCATAGACTTTTGGTGATGGACATTTGTATTAGGATAAGGAGGAAGAAGAGGTCAGTACAAGGACGCCCTAGGATTAGGTGGGGCGCCTTAACTAAGGATAAAGCTAAGGAGTTAGAAGGGAGGTTATCGGCAATGAGAGCTTGGAGAAGTGGTGGGGACGCAAACACAATGTGGTCGACGACGGCGGACTGTATAAGAAAGGCGGCGAGAGAGGTGTTAGGGATATCTACGGGCCGCAATGGTGGTCATAAAGGAGATTGGTGGTGGAATGCAGCTGTCCAAGGTAAAGTGGAAGCGAAGAAGGCGGCTTACCTGCGGTTAGTAGGGAGCACTAACGAGGAGGAGAAGAGAGAGAACAGTCAGAGGTATAAGGTAGCTAAGAAGGAGGCAAAGATAGCAGTGACGGAGGCTAAGACGACAGCTTTTGCTCGTCTGTATGAGGAACTAAGGAACAAAGGCGGGGAGAAGAAGTTATTCCGACTCGCTAAGGCGAGAGAGAGGATAACTCGAGATCTAGACCAGGTGAGGTGCATAAAAGATGACGACGGCAAAGTTTTGATGGGAGATGACCAGATTAAGAGAAGGTGGCAGACCTACTTTCATAAACTTCTAAGTGAAGAAGGAGATCAAGATATTAGACCTGGGGAATCGAGGAATGCCGACAGTCACCATGAATTAAGTAATTGTAGGGACATTGAGATCGATGAAGTCATGGAGGCAATGCGTAAGATGAGAAGGGGCAGAGCTACCAGGCCAGACGAAATTTCGGTTGAACTGTGGAGGTGTGGGGGTAGCGCAGGCTTGGAATGGCTGGATTGTTTAGTGCTATATTCAAGTCTAATAGGATGCCTGAAGAGTGGAGGTGGAGTACAATGGTTCCATTGTATAAGAATAAGGGTGATGTCCAGAGCTGTAACAACTATAGGGGCATCAAATTACTAAGTCATACCATGAAAGTTTGGGAGAGAGTGGTAGAAATGAGAGTACGAAGGACAGTGTCTATTTCAGACAACCAGTTCGGGTTCATACCGAGGCGATCTACCACAGAAGCTATCCACCTTATTAGGAGGATGGTGGAACAGTACAG